AATATCTCTGTTTTGATTTGCCTTTGATGAAGTGCTCTGCAATTCTATAAATTACTGACAGAAATTTGTCTTCTAAAATTTTACCAAACTTCACACGGCTGGGGCAGCTGGGGTGGGGCCTTAACGTGCCTACACATGGTGGTAGGGGGAGGACATGTCAAAGGCGCGTGGGGCATGGGCAGGTGCGGGACGTACAGGCCACACACTGTCTCAGCGTGCGGCACTTAGGCCGACGCGAGTTAGGTGGGAAGGTTACAATGAATGAACCAGTCTCTTTGTTCCTTGACGCTTGCCAACAAAGCTTCTGCCGTGGGTGATGTCATCAAAAGAAACGCATATCAATCTCAACTCGACTTAAGAGGAGGGTTATCTCTCTTCGCATTGGGTTGGGACTCAATTTGGAGAATGTAAGTCAATTGTGAGCGGTTCAAAGTTCGCGACCTTGCGTGGCGCCATTGAGTTCTGGCGCGCTTAGACACAAAAGCCTGAGAAAATACAATGAGAGAACTCTGCGGCGCGCCGTAAACTGTTCTCCCTTATGCTTTTCAAAAATTAGCCGTGCTTCTCAGTGCAAAACTGCGCCTTCTGACCACTGTCATCGGTGTGGAAACGCAATCGTTCCCGATCAAACTCAAATCATTCATTTTTAGGGTTTCATCATTATCACGGCCCCCTTGACTCGCGTTGTTTTTGTTGGTCCGATCAGCCCGTGGAATCAGCTGACGTCATGTTGGGTCGCGGCCGCCATTACGGTGTTCATCTGTGGAAATCAGCTGTCGCTGAGAATTAGTCTCTCTCATTTGCGTTACAGCTGCTCTAAAATGGAAAAAACACTTCTGGATTAATTTGCAAGACGCGCCGAGTTCATCGCATATCCTCTGCTGGGAATCTGTAAGTAGAAGCCTTGGAAAAGGGCCTTGTTTACTTTGGGTCCGTGGGGACATAATGTAGGCCATCGGCCAAAATTTTAGAACCTTGAGAGTGCATTGATTGAGACGTCGTCTGTCGGGGTGTTTTGTGTTTAAGTTTCATGAAACTGAGTGTCGACAGCGAACAATTGTCCTTTTTTCTTTGTCTACTTGTTGTGATTAGGTTAGACTACTGGAAAATCCTTATAGTTGGGTGTAGGCCTAGAGGTGACAGGTGTCAGAAAACAGAAAGTGTTGTGTTTAGATTGTTATTATCAGACCCTACTTGAGAGACCCATACCCACGGATCAGTAAGAACTAGTGAGGATAATGGAATATTTGGTTTGTTACATTGAACTTCACAAAGTATATTTAGTATATTCTTGATGTCTGTTCCAACAGAAGTACCTTCCTCATATTCACAAATTTATTATTATTAAGGATACTACTCAGTAATCAAGAGCACCTTTTAAATGAAGTTTAAAAATAAATTTTATTTTGTTATTCTCATTCCGTAATTTCTTTACTTTTATGAAGTTTGGTTTTAATTTCTTACAATGCTTCCAATATCTTTTTGTATGTAACTTGAACTGTCATTTTAAAAGATCTCAATATCCTTTATTAGATTTTCTGTTTCAAGTCCTTTACTATACCCTTTTTCTGCGGGTTTTGATAAGTCATGTAGTTTGTTTTTGCTTTTTTTCCTCCCCAGTGTAATTTTATTTTTAGTAGGTGGGCCCACCCTTATTCTCAAAACTTATTGCTGTTCAGAAGAATAGTACAAGAATTTCTATCAAAGTTTTTTTATTTTCTTTTGAGTCTTCTACTGGTTAGTCTTGAATCACGTAGTCCAGTAGACTTTGTAAATGACAGTCAAGCAGCATGTTTTATTTTCACTCCTTATAGGTTAAGGAATAACCGTAAAATTAAAGATGTTCTATCAAAGTTTACAGTTGCCCAAAAATTGTGAATTGTTTCCAGCAACTTTTCCTTTACTATGACCAACATTTGAAAATTTCGATGTGGGAAAGTTACAAGAATTGACAACTGTGCCCGGGATTTTCAATTTTGATCACAGTAGAGAGTTTGTCCCTGGAAACTTTTAGCTTGCAACGTTGCCTTATCCTCTAGATTAAAAGTCTATTGAAACAATTTAGTCTCCTCATCTGAAGAGGTAGTTTAGTTGTGTTGTAGCAGGAAGGCCGAGGAAATCTATCATGGAGACTTATCAACTTGTTTTCAAAACGTTTTTCTGTTTGCCTTGACAGTAGTTACTTATATTGTAATATTTTACAGGTATTGGAGACATAAAATGGAGTGCTCCATTGGCGACCCACAACCGTCTAGTTTGCAATCTCTCTGTCACATACGAGCATCAGAAGCATATCCCAAAGCTACATTACAAGTTGAGGACAGTGGAGGTGGAGGGTCATCTGCAGAGGGTTTGCAACCCCTCATAGTTCCATTCTCACCAGTTTGTGGTGAATCAGTGAGATACCTCGCTCGAACAGCTGATGGAGTTCTTGCTTTGTCGAACTATCGAATTTTTCTTCTCATGACTGATGGATCCAGTCATAATATACCACTTGGATTAATTGAACAATTAGAGGTAGAGAAACTCATAGAATTATAATTATTTTAATGATTTGCTTGTAACGTTTCCATCAGTAACACTTGTCTTGTTTTACAGGTCAAAGACATCTTTTATCTACATGTTTTATGTAAAGACGCACGTTCAGTACGCCTAGTTTTTCTGAGCAATGATGTGTGTCTTGATTGGTTCCGCCGCTTACTGCGGGCTATTAGTCCCCCAAAGTCTATCATTGAAATCTTTGCATTTTCATTTTATGCCTGGTCCAAAGAGGAAGAAGGGGAAAAAGTCATTCAGCGCTTAAAAAGACAACCAGAACAGTCATATTTTCGGAAAGAGGTTGGTTCATTTTATATTGTAGTGTTTTGGAAATTTCCTACATTAATTGAATTATTTTTGTTCTGAATCAATCTAATGTTATAACATTGAATTCCTCAGGTGGAAAGACTACAGTTTGACTTGCGCGGATCATGGCGCATTTCAAAAGCAAATGAAAACGGTGAACTTTGTTCATCATACCCTAGAGAAATACTTGTTCCCTCTTGCATTGCCGATGAAAAATTAAAGAAAGGAGCTGGATTTAGAAGCTATGGCCGTGTCCCTGCCGTAGTCTGGAGGTTAGTCATCTTCAAGAATAAATTATATTATTCTATTGTTTGAATCTGAGCAGTTACTTATTTTAATTTTTTTTTAGACACACTGGTAATGGTGCTGTATTGGCAAGGTGTTCCCAACCTGAGGTTGGATGGTTTGGTTATCGTCTACCAGAGGATGAAGAACTCTTGAAAGCTATCGCTGATGCTTGTGCTCATGATCGCCTCCATAATGTTACTCTTGATGCATCAGCTGGAGGGAATTCCTTTATGACTTCTTCATTAATACCGTCAAGTCAAGCGGCTGCTCCCGGAGCTCTACCTTTTGCTAATGGCTTAGTTCAGACTGCCACAGTGTCTTCTACTGTTGTGTCACCTCCATCTATGAATGGTGGTAGTCTGAGTATGCTATCTGATTGTAATGGCACCAGCTCTAGTGCCTCAAGTTTAAAAGATTCACTTCCCGATGAAGTAGAGTTACCACCTCAGGGAAAGGTGAGACAAACTATTTTATCTGACTATACAATTGTAGAGTGAATTACTCATTTCTTTTAAATCCACTGTTCCTTACCCTTTAAAATAAAATCTAAATACATCAAATTGCAGAAACTGCTAATCATGGATGCTCGCTCTTACACTACTGCAATTGCAAATCGTGCAAGGGGTGGTGGCTGTGAGTGCCCAGAATATTATCCAACATGTGAAATTCAATTCATGAACTTGGCTAATATTCACTCTATTAGAAAAAGTTTTCACTCTCTCCGTGCTTTATGTGCCTCATCAGGAGACAATCCTAAGTAAGTTCGATTATGAACAGTGTTTTCTTTTATTTTTTTTATTTTTTTAATGTTTCTATACTTATTTTGATCTCTCTTCTTAGTTGGTTTAGCTTGTTAGAGGGAACCAGATGGCTTCAAAATATGTCTGGTTTGATGCGAGCAGCTGTCACAGTAGCTCAAGCATTGGATACTGAGGGTAGACCAGTTGTAGTGCATTGCTCTGATGGATGGGACAGAACTCCACAAATTGTGGCTTTGGCAGAGATTCTTCTTGATCCATACTACCGCACTATGCAGGTTAGCGACCTTGCCATTCATCTTACTGTCAAGCAATCGACTTAGCTTCATTTTTTTAGAGCTGTTCCTTATACTAACCTAATGGTGTGCTTACTTGTTACAGGGGTTTCAGATTCTTTGTGAACGGGAATGGCTTGATTTTGGTCACAAGTTTGCTGATCGATGTGGTAATGGGATTGGAGGGGAAGACCACAATGAACGATGTCCTGTCTTCTTACAATGGGTGGATTGTGTTCATCAACTATTATCCCAGTTTGAGTGTTTGTTTGAATTTTCTGAAGCGTACCTTGTGAAACTAGTCCAGCACACATATTCCAATCTCTTTGGAACCTTTCTGTGCAATTCAAATACTGATCGAGCCAACTCAAGTATTGCGGAGGGAACTTTCTCTGTATGGCAGTTCTTACAGGATGATTGTTTCAAAAACAATTTATATCTACCAGAAGATAGAGTACGATAATTCTCTAATATCTATTTCATTTTAGAAAAAGGTTTGGAAAGTGATAATTAATTTACTATTTGCTCAATTCTTTTCAGGTATTGTGGCCATCCTGTAATGTTCGTGATTTACATGTATGGAGTGAACTTTACTTGGGATCGCCAGATAGAGCTACATCTACATTGTCAGCGGCGCCTGCTCCTGTAAATACTGTTACAACAACTCACAGTGCTCCTGGCTCAGTTGTGGGCAGTTCAAATGCAGCACATAGTGATGGCAGTGCTACAGAAGACCTTGAAAGCTCAGGTCGTTCAAATGGGTTTGTGAAAACTCGTTCTTATGATGATATAATCACCGCCTGTGATGAGCGAGAAAGTCATAGCTCTCTTGTAGACCAGCCAAGGAGATGTTCTGATTCTAGTATTAATGTGGATCTGTAAGTAGAATTGTTTATAACTTTATCACCATTTTCAAAATTCATGTACTAACTGGGTGTCATTCATTTTTAGAAAATACACAAATGGTTCGGTTGGAGGAGACATTGATCAAGTGGATGGAGAATGTAATGCAAACAGCCCTAGTGAACAGGTAGAAGAAGAAAACGATCTTGTTTCAGAACTATGCAGAGATGCCATAGGACTTGAAATTTCTGATGCAGTTTCAAGTTTACCTACCACTCATATCACTCCAACTGGATTGTCAAATGTTATTACGAATCAAGAAATTTTATCAGGCAGTCAATGTCGTGATGAGCAGTCTGATGATGAGGATACTGAAATAACTGTTACTACTGAAGTGACTGAAACTCTTAATACAATGGACAATAGTGAAACTCAAAATGAAGTCTCCTCTAATGCACCTGATGGAGACTTATCTGGTCCAAGTAGTTTACCCACTCAACAAATTTTAAGTGAGAACTCTACTGCAAAGTCAGTTTGGAAATCTAAAGATAATTTACAACCTGGGCATTCTGTGGATAGTTCGACTGATACACTAGTTGCTCCAGAGCAACTTGCTAATCACTGTGTTCAACCAGCTGCTGGCTCAGCCCCTCCACTTTGTAATGGTATTAGGTAAGATAATTTAAAAAAATTAAATAACAACCAATATCCCTGTAATTTTATGATTCTTAGGATGTAACTTTTATTGTTCTGTTTCATTTTATTTCAGTTCCTCTCTCGGTGCGGCCCCTGGTTTGACAGTCAGCACACTTGACATGCTAGTGCCTGTTGCCAGCACTAATTCAGTGGGGAGTTTTAATTCCCATGCTCCTCAGTCTCTAACATTCCCCTATGGAGCAGTTAATGCAATGCCTTCAATACTGGCAAATGGTGTTACTGATGGTGATGTGATATCATCCAGTGGTGGTGACATGTGCAGGGTTTGTGCTGATAGCAGAAAATTTTTAGCAGATAATCATAGGTATTAAATACGCTCCGATTACAAACTTGTATTACATATGTCATTTTTATGATGGAAAAGTAATGTCTCCCTTTATAATTCCAGGGACCACTCTGGGAGTAGTTCTCGCTACTCAACACCACCTCTCAACAGTCGTACACCAAGTAGTGGTTACCCAGCTACCCCTGCTACTCCCTGTGAAGATAGAACAATTTTACCATCTTCATTACAAGGTGGTTGTATTCAGCTGGATGATGTAGATGGACTTGCTGCTCCCCATAGTGATGTCCAAATTAGGTTGCGCCAAATTATTGCTGAACATCAGGTAATTCATTCTGTTCATGTGGGGCACCCATACATCTGAGTACTTTGAATGAACAAACTAATGATCACTGAGTTTCGCCTGACCCATTTCATTTTTTACTTTTCAGGCTCGCGTGCAGGAACTGGAAAGAGATTTACACATGACAAGAATGGCATTAACACAGCAAGTGTGTCATCAGTGTAACCATGCACCTCCAGATCGTAATGATGATGTGGTCAGTGATTTTCTGAAATATTCTGAAAATTTTATCTGATGATAGATGCTTTTATTGCTCCTTTTTTTTATCATGAGATAGAGCATATATAGTATACTGTCTTGAAGCTTTTCAAACGTCACATGTCATTGCCCTTTAAAGGGATAAGTATAAAAGGTTGATACCAAAATAAGATTTCTGCATCAGATATTTTGAAAGTGGTTGTTTATTTTAACTGTTTAGACACTCTCACATAATTGTCAAGCCAAAATTATCAGTATATTCCTATTGCTTTCAGCGGTCATTGCCAGAATCAGCTTGCTCTGGTGAACCTGCTTCGGCAGGTGAGAGTATCCCATCAGATGTTTCTTGGGAGGCATTAGAGGAAGTACCCGATGGAAATCCAGTCTTATGGTGGCCTGATTATGCAGCAAGTCATTGTATGCGGTGCACTCGTGAGTTTAATGTTGTTCGGCGCAGACATCATTGCAGGTATGAATTTCATTATTTTCCTTTCACTGTTAACAATTTTTATTCTGGAAGTTTTTCTTGACTTTACCTGTTACTTTCAGGAATTGTGGCAAAATCTTCTGCTCTGAATGCTCTGAAAATACCGTGCCCCTTCCAAACAAGCAGGTTTTTGAACCTGTGCGTGTTTGCACAACATGTTACTCATTACTGCATACAGATACTGTTGAAAATATTTCCAACAACATGAATACGCGGCGAAGTGGACCTGTTGTTAACGTGAACTCTCATATTATTTCAAATGGACATTCCATGGATGTACCTGCGGACATGGCTGAGTCAGCATTAACAACATTTGCTCAACAACATCACACAACCAATGGCAACAGCTGTACTTATGCTTCTGTAGCATCTGGGAGTGCTCACTCAGATCAGAGAAATGGTATGTTGCTACCGGAGGCATCTAAAGTTGGAAATCCACAGGCACAAGCACAGCCACGGAAAGCTACAGCGGCTTATTCCTAGAATCTGTTGGTTGACTTGAAAAATTAAATCCAAAAAGTAGCTTTGTTTCTCCTTGGAAATGATACTGTAGAACAAATGGGTAAAAATTTCCCAGAGCAACTATCCATGCTGAAATTTTTATGTTTTCCTTAAGTTTTTTCTTAGCCTTGTATTTTTATCCTTTTGCAATGCAGCAGTTTTTTATGTGGCCAAACCACATGCAAAGGAGGCTTTTTTCTCAGCCTTTTGTTGTCTGTTTTATTTTATTTATCCTGTAATATCTCTGTTTTGATTTGCCTTTGATGAAGTGCTCTGCAATTCTATAAATTACTGACAGAAATTTGTCTTCTAAAATTTTACCAAACTTCACAAACTAAGGATTTTATGGAAAAGCATGCTGATTAGATATGCTGTGCTTAAAATAATTTTGGGGAAAAAAATTATAAAAATATAAAGAGAATTTCTCTTTCTACTCTGTTCAGTTTTTGTTATAAATAGCTGCCAAACCTAAAAAAAAATGTTAAAAGTTCACTAGTAACTTGTTTAAATATGTTTTATTTTTTTGTAAAAAAATTTTACCCTTGTTATGTGTTTTTGCAAACCAATGAGAAGAAAGGAAGTTTACTGAGTGTTCCTGTACAGTTGTGTTATATTGAAAAAGCTCTTTAGCTCTTGTGGTAAATTAAAACATGCTCATAAGGAGATTATAAATCTTACCAATTCTTTTGTCTGTGATAGAGAAGCAAAGGTCAGCCCTTGGAATTTGAGATTGTGTGTTGTTGTACCTTGTAAATTTTTGGGAAGTACCATTTTCATGTAATTAGTGCTCATAGAAGGGTAATAATGTGTTTCATTAAGTTGTCTTTCGCTTTGTCAGGGAGGCATCTTGTCAAACATATTATGTGTATAATATAATGTGTAAATATGTCCATTTGTAAATTTGTTAAGATCTATCTATCTATGCGTGATTACCTTAGTCCAAATTGGAAGATGCATATTTGCAGTTAGCCCCTGTAGTCTGTTTGGTCATGTGTTATGATCAGATGCTAGTCATGGCAGTTATATTTGTAAATTATAAATAGAGCTGTGAAAAAGTAAATAAAGTGAAATTTAACCAAGACTTGAGATTTCTTGCAAGAGTAAAATAAAATCAGAGTCGAGTTAATATCTCGCTGTTCACAGAACTCTAAGTACAGGAGCAAACAATTGAACTGTAAGAGAAATGTCAGGGGTACATATAGAAAATCAAAAAAACTGCAAAAATCAAATTTTGGTACTTTGCCTATTTTTGTACCTGTGCCATTTTGGTTATGGATCAATGCTCACACTAAGAGATATTGTAAGTATTGTAGATAGCAAGAGGTGTTAAAGGCAACACTAATCTTTCAGATAGCTTTGGGAATTTTTCCCAAGGTGAGAAGTTTCTTACATATGACTGAAAAGTAATTGCTTGATCGTTGTGACCAGTATAAGTACTGTATGCATCATGTAGGAGTTTTACCGAAGAAAAGAAATGCATTTGAAGGATGTTAATATTGGTCAATCATGTTTTGAAAGTATTATTGAAAGTATAGCTACTTGTTCAATATAGTGGGTTAACTCTGGGCTGACCTCTACTTCTCCATCATTATAAACAAAGTTCTCTTAATGCAGCGGTATAAGAACTTTTATGTGATATGGTTTGCAAGCATCTGTGGTGCTCTATTGGTTGATGGAATTTGAAATGTGATCAATTTTGTGTACTAACTTAAAAACCTTAAAAAGAATTTGCTGTGGTATTAACATGCATTTGGGAGGAAAATCCTGTATTCCTTCTACTCATAATTATCTCCCCCCATCCCCCCTGTAGTCTGTGGAGTGAGCTCTCAAACCCTAACCATAACCTTGGGTTACAAATTGGTCTAAACTCTTTGTTTTCAAAGACTGGCTTGGAGCAGGAAGTACTAAATCACCACATATCTGTCAACCATAATTGTTAAGATTTTTCAGTAATTAAATATCTTTTGGGGAAATGTTTCCCTTCAATGGATTCATCTCTAAAGGCTTTCTCAGCTCTATTTGACAAGAGACTTGTAGAAAGAAATTCTTTGTACTGATAGAATGTTACTTAAATGGAATGCCTATAATAGCAAGTTTTGTGGATTGGTTCTTATGTTTAGTTTTATATTTATTTTCCCTTACAAATGATCTTGTTACTCATGTTGTTATCTCTGTCTGTGGGCCAGGCCATAAATATCTGTGTTTTATGGACGTATAGACTTCTGGAACTTTCAAAACTTTTATGACTCCGTGATTGTTTTGGACTGATGTAAAGGGCACATTAAAATAATGTTGTCAGGGTACTTGTAACTATTGTAGGGTCACTCATAGGAAAGTCTGTTTCAGTTTCTACTTTAGTATTCTGCCTACATTCCCCCAATTTTCCATAGGTAAGCAAGAAGTTGTGCTATATAACCAATGCAGTAGTTATACCTTTGGGTTAAAAACAAGTTTTGAAAATGATGGAGCTACTGGAAGAGAGTATGGATTATTGTACTCAGGGTGAAAATTCATTCATTGTAAGGGAATCATTGTCATTTACCCTTATTCTAATCATATAGTGGCTAGCAACAAAAGTGACACACACACAATCTAATTTGTTACAACATTTGTTGCATCTTGTTTTTCCCATTTTCTGGTTTATCAAAACATTTTTTGGTGCAGAATATACTCCAGCATTTTGCTATGATTATCCAGAACTTACTGTGCTTGCATTTCCTAATGTGCCCCTCTCTCTGATTTTTGATTCTTCGTATGAAGTACTGTCCTTGTGAAAATGATTTTTGCTTCACTGGGATTCTAATTTATTTCTTAAAAACAATTGTAGTTTGACTGATTTTTCACATTTTCAGTTGTATGGAAAAATTGTTATTCTCTTGTGTGTTACTGTAGGCCTATTTCCCAGAAATTAGACCGCAAGCAATACTGTATACCTTATGACCTTGAAAAAAAAAATGCAGTTTATATATCTCTAGTGCAAGAGCTGTGTGCTTACTGTGGTATGGGATCTAAGAGACTGAAGGGGTTGATAGATATGTGGCTTCCATTCTTGTGCGTAACGTGAGACAGCACTTAGCATTATAATTGATATTGTGAAGCCGTGCATAATGCACTTCAGGTTGTGTTGCTGTTGTTGTATTCAGTGAAGCATGTATATTGTACGTATGAGGAAGAGATTATTTATAAATGTAGATATTGTACTATCACCTTACAAATAAACAAACTTACCGGTAATCTGAATCAAAGCAGGCCAGTCATTTCAAGCTGTCGTAGTTGGACCCTCTACTCAAACTCCGCACCACATTGAGGTCTTCCCTCTGGTCCGCCCGACGCGACGGTCCCTTCACCTACCTGCCTTCAGCTTGTACCCGATCGAATCTAGTTAAGTTCAGGTCCAGGTCATCGTCATTAACTGCAAGGCATATTCGGGTGGAAACGACGTGATAGCGGGCATTACCCTGGCAATAGCACATTGGGCTTCCTTACGTTAGCTCGGGGTCGGGTTGCTTGCTTGGTGCTGCACGCTGTCCCCAAGGGGCCGTGGCAAGAGTGGGGGACTCAGGTGCCCCCCCTCTCCCCCCCTCCACCCGTTTCCCCTCCCACCTGGCCGCCCCAACCCGTCCGCCTGACCACCAGTTCTGAGCGCACCGTCCCCGGAGGAGGAGAGAAGGTGTTCTGTTGTGATCCTGGAGCTGGCAACCCGACTCGAGCAACACTTCGGCAGGAAAAAGGATCCCCTGAGGAGCGCGAGGGCGAGAGGGAGGAAGTGAACACCGGCGGGAGGGAGAGCCCTCTCCCTACACAAATGGTGAGCAAATGATGAATAAAAAGCAGTCGGGAGGCAAATCGCTGAGATCCAGCAGGGCTCCGCATCCGAAGCCTCGCGCGGCGTCCGAGCGGCAGCGCGTTACGTAAGTCGCTTAGCCATGATGCGTGGCCCGCGAGCACACAGAATGTCCATCTCCGGTTAAATGAATGCCGTTCGAGGTTGTCTTTTATCCGCTGTATGCCCTCCACCTAGCCCAGAGCCCGACGTGCCCCTTGCAGTCCCGACCCGTGACACTTCCCTGTTCGACTCTTCCCATGGCTCTTCCGCTTGTGATAACAGAGGCGCTATCATGGGCGCTCTCCAGACCAGCGTCAATAAACACCCGTCATATGCAGGTGTCGCGCGATCCTTTTGAAGTGCAATCCGAAGCGTCTTTTTCATTTTTACGTCGAGTTATTTCTTTACATTCGGAGTAGAGTCTTTTTGTCCACGACGAGTGGTGCAATTAAACACTCGGGCAGCGCGTTATATAACGAATGCGTGATTCTTACCTTCAGACTATGACCGATACTTCACTCGAGGTATGGGATCGTCCAAGAAAATTCGTCCGCTTTTTCTCAGATTCGTTCGGCAAATTACAGGAGCTCAGCGCCTGCGAAAATCGGGGTAGGCCACCAAGCAGTGCACGCGTGCAATGCAGGCAAGATGTTGCCTACCGATCGGGCGCTAGGAGAGCTTCCATTGGCTGAACTGGGCAGTGTCGTAACGGCAAATGGCGGACGTACTTTCTGAATGCTCCCCATTCCGGCTCTTTGAAAGCATAGAATGTTAAGGTAACACCGCCAAGGGCCATTGTGTAGTCTTGTGATATTTTAACGGTTTGCGCTTCTATGGACACTTTGATTCGCACTACTGTCTCGCATCTGATTAAAATCAGGGAGGCGTGTCAAGATGTGCCGTCTCTGAGATAAAAATAAAATAAGCAGTTTGTCTCAGGCCGGCTCGCAACCCGGGTCCGACAGGTGTACTGGGCCGTAATTTCTGCCCCGATGCCCAGTTTCATGTTTGTTTTATTCCACGGCTTATTCACACACTGTCTCGACAAATCGCTAGTCGACCGCTTCATCACGTTTTCATGCCTTTGTTCGTCAGCGCCGGTCGGTCTCTTGACGACGAGAGCGGCTGCAGCTGCAGTGTTTACAGGGGGGGAGGGTCATCGCCATAGTCTCACGGTGCCACGAGACTGCTCCAGAAAGGGCCCATCCCTATCCCGTAGGAGAGGAATCCGCCCTTCAGCGAGCGGCTGGCCGCTGGCCACCGCAGCCAACCTGGAGAGATGCGATAGCACAGTCCGGTCGCGTTGGCACGCAGCGCCTCCCGCCTCCCGTCCCACTCATTATGTGACCGCGCTAGAAGGCCGCCCTATTGCATTGCGTAACACTCGTATCTTCGGCCGCCAATTCAACACTTTTCGGCTTCCGTGGGTTTCGCGGCAGCGTCAGCAAGGTGACCACTGACTGACTGATCGTGAACCGGCTATCAGGTGGCGGCGATGCCCTGTCGGTTGCCTACATACAGCAATTGCCTATCTTCCAGGAGGCCCTCCAGAAATAACATGAAAAAGGGGGGGGGGACTTACATTGCACCCGCCTCATTATAGTACGGGCTCCCCCCCCCCCCTCGTACCTGCCGCCCCTGTCGCCTGGAACGAGACTTGTTTGGTTTAGGCCGCGACGGGACGCGTATATTGCATATAATAATAAAAACGAAACAAGAACACCGCCTTAAAATAAATAAAAAGGACTCGCACATCCGAACGATTGGACCGCGCGCCGCCCAAACAGGTCCGTCGGGCAGGACGGGCAGGCTCGCGTGCCACCCTGCCAGCGCGTACATACTCCAGCGATCCACCTTGCTCCAGCGAGACCAGCGCAGCGCCAGCAGCGCTAGCCCTTGGACTCGGAAAGTTCCGTAGAGCCGGTCGGCCGGCCGCTGGAGCAAAGCAGGGAAGGCGGAGCGGCCGCGGCCGCAGGATGGAACGGCGAAAACACTTTCCAGTTAAACGACACAAATTCGGGACAAACAACACTGTGAAAAGAAGAGAGTGGGGGAAGCTTCCAGCAGTCGTTCGATGTGGGTAACCCTGGAATGTTTGAACGGAGTGCTAGACTTCTCTCCTCCGACAGTCGTTCGATGGAGGTAACCCTCTTACGTTTCAACGGAGTTCGAGACTTGCCTTCAATTACTTGTCTTGCACCCACTCCCCCTTTCCCGTGCTCTTTTTGTAGCGATCGGTAACGATGGAACGGTCGGAGTGAGACGACGGAGCCCCCGCCCTGTCCCGTTCATAACTGGCCGGCTGGTCGGCTCACGTTCGCGGGGACGGATGTATCGCTGGCCAGGACGGGTGGCTTTAAGGACGCGCTGGTCGCGGCCTAAGGCGCCCAAGTTCAAGGGCGGACTTCATCTGCCGCCTCCGCCGCGGCTGGACTGGGCGTTGCCCGCGCCTATCCTGCCCTGTCGTATCCTATCGCAGCCTGTATCCTAGGCTAGGAGCCGCTGGGGGCTCACGGCGCGCGCTCCTTACGTAACGTAGCCAGCATAGCGGAGCGGCGGGCGGGGCGGGGCGGGTCTAGTCTCCACGCAGCGCACTGCGGGCCCCGCCACGCCACGCCACTTCAGGGCCTCGCCACCACCGGGGCCTCACCCCGCTCAAGGCATCAACTGTCATGGGGGGCGGGGTGGGCAGGGAGAGGGCTCGGCTCCGGACATAGCCACTGGCGTGTGGCTGACAGGGAACACCGCCGCCGGCCGCATCGAGCATGGTGTAAGAAGGATGTACTTAGAGCCATCGCGTAATGACATGTCATGAAAACCTACAGGAGAGACCTCAACGCGAGCACCTGATGGAGATCGCGAAACGGTGACAAAGGAGAACAGAAAAGGGGTCCCCGAATATCCAGATCACCCCTATCTCTGTCGCACGCCCTTCTTGTTCACCTTGTCGCTCATGCCATACTCGTGGTCGGTGTCGCAGAGGTAGCCGCCTGCGATCCAGCCATGGCTACGGAGAGGACCCCGCTGCGCACGGGCGGCCCGACGGCCGGCCCCGGCGCCTACGACCAGGCGCCCACCTACGTCTTTATGAGCAACCCCGGCCGGGCGCACCGCAACAAGATACGCCAGTTCCAGTGCTGCGTCTGCGCCGCCATCCTGTGAGTAGTCGTGAGAGAAAGAAGGGAACCGAGCGCCCGCTCTTGGGTGCTGCGAGAGGGCCTTGACGACACTGACGGCATGCGACGCCTTGTCTGTAGGGGCGTGTTCGTGATGGCGCTCATCATCACCGTCTCGTACTCCGTGGAGCACGACGACCAGGACAGCGACAACACGACGACGCCGCCGGTGATGCCTCCCGTCAACGGCAGCCTCAAGCTGCTGCTCAGCAGCTCGTGGCCCAAGCCAGGTGAGTGTAGTCCCGGACGCACAGCACGACGCCCGGGGTAGGTTGTGTCGGGTCGTGTGGTCACCGCCACTCCTCCACATGTTTGCCCTGTGCAGACGCGGCCTCGCCGTCGTGGCCCGGACCCGAGCCTGACGCCGCGGCGCTGAAGCAGGCCATGCAGTCGGCGCACGACGAGCTTGGGGCGCGCGCCGCCCTGGAGGCCAAGATGACACCGATGAAGCTCGACACGCCCTCGTACCGGGCCAACCAGGCCGTGCACACCCGGAAGGAGGCCACCGTCCTGGCGCAGCGCGCGCTGCTCGAGGAGAAGGCCACCAAAAAGCTCCTGCACGAGTAAGTCTCGCAGCGGGGCCCACTTCCCCCGAAATCGAACCCGATTTCCCCCCCTTTCGCCGCTACACGCCCCTGCCCTCGTTGTGCGTGCGGGTGTGGGTGGGTGGGGCCGGGCAGGCCGGCTAGCCGCTGGCAGACCAGGCGGAGCCCAGCCCAAGCCCAGCCGGCCCAGCCCAACCCCGAGGGAAGCCCCGCGGTGCGTAGCGGGCCGGCCGGCGGGCCCGGGGGGAGCTCTCCACACCAGGCTGCGGGCCTCCCCCAGACCCGCTCCTCCCCTCCCCTCACCCTCCCCTCACTCTCCCCTCACGTAACGCCGTGGTCGGACATGCATTTTGGATTACCAAAAGGCGGCCTCCATGCAGCCGGCTGCACTCGCTGCGCCGAGCTTAACGCCGCCCTTCTCTGCCTCGCGCAGGTCCGGCAAGAAGCTCTCCTGGCGCTCGGGCGCGGGGCGCGGGCCCCGGCTGCACGCCGCTGCGGCGCAGGGCCCCGAGGAGGCCGCGTGCGCCGAGGACGAGATGGCCATGCCGTGCCCCTCCACGCCGTACCGCAGCGCGGACGGAACGTGCAACAACGTCAAGGTGAGCGGTTCACAACACTGATAAATTCGTCCGTCTGCCTGAACGAAACAATTGTTGTTGCTAACTCTGAGACCTCCCGGTCCCCTGCAGCACCCGCGCACGTGGGGAGTGGCCATGCGGCCGTTCCGCCGCGCCATGCCGCCCGCCTACCTGGACGGCGTGTCGCAGCCCCGCGGGGTGGCGCAGGGCCTGCCCTCGGCCCGGGAGGTGTCGCTCGGCGTGCACCGACCCCTGTACCGCAACGACCCCGACTTCACCGTCATGCTCGCCGTCTGGGGCCAGTTCCTGGACCACGACATCACGGCCACGGCGCTCTCTCAGGCGGCCGACGGCAGCGCTATCTCGTGCTGCGACCTGCCCCCCGAGGAGCAGCACCCCGAGTGCTTCCCCGTGCGCCTGGCCGCCGGCGACCCCTACTACCACAAGTACAACGTGACGTGCATGGAGTTCGTGCGCTCCGCGCCGGCGCCCACCTGCAGCCTGGGCCAGCGGGAGCAGCTCAACCAGGCGTCCTCCTTCATCGACGCCTCGGTGGTGTACGGCCCGTCCTCCGAGCTCATGCGCTCGCTCCGCAAGGAGGCCTCCCCCGCGGCCGCCGCCGTGTCCGCCGACGGCGAGGACGGAGGCGACGCGGCCCGGCCCGCCCTCGGCCGCCTTCGCATGTCCATGAGCCCCGACGGCAGGGAGCTGCTGCCCGTCAGCGAGGACCCCACGGACGGCTGCAACCGCCAGGAGATGAACGACCGCGGCAGATACTGCTTCAAGTCCGGTAAGAAATTAAACCACTGTTATGTTTTAAAATCAAAATCAAAAACACAAAACTTACTTTGTCTGATTTTGAGAGTAACTATGGCGTAACTTTTCCCTGCCGCAGGTGACGGTCGTGCCAACGAGAACCTGCACCTGACAACGATGCACCTGCTGCTGGCGCGTCAGCACAACCGCGTGGCCGCGACCCTGCAGCGGCTCAACCCGGACTGGAACGACGAGCGCGTGTTCCAGGAGTCGAGGCGCATCGTGGCGGCGCAGATGCAGCACATCACCTACAAGGAGTTCCTCCCCGTCATCCTCGGGCCGCACGTCATGTCCCAGCTGGACCTCAACCCCAAGGAGGCGGGCTACGACACGTCGTACGACCCGGACGTGGAGCCCACCGTGTGCAACTCGTTCGCCGCCTCGTCCTTCCGCTTCGCGCACACCCTGCTCCCCGGGCTGCTCAAGCTCATCGGCAACGACACGTCCAGCCCCGAGTACATGGAGCTGCACCAGATGCTCTTCGACCCCTACAGCCTGTACTCTCGCGAGGGCGTGGACCGCGCGCTCCGCGGCGCCATGGACACGAGCATCGAGCGCGCCGACAGCTACTTCAACCCAGAGGTGAGTGACAGCTTGGGAGGACGTGGGCGTCGTACACCGAGGGTCCGGTGATTAAGAGTCCGCCGTGTGCGTACGCAGGTGACACAGAAGCTGTTCGCGCCCCGCTCCATTGGGCGCGGCTCCTCCGGCGTGCCGGCCTGCGGCCTCGACCTGGTCTCGCTCAACGTGCAGCGCGGCCGAGACCACGGCCTGCAGCCCTACCCGGCCTGGAGGGAGCACTGCGGCTTCACTCGCCCGGCCTCCTGGGATGACCTGGACGGCGTCGTGGACAGCGAGTCGCTTCAGCGGATGAAGGCGATCTACAAGTAAGGGTCGTGAGCTACGCGGAGCCCCTGCGAGGTTTGGGTAGACAGACCCGCCGGGCGCCGGTGTCGTTCGGGGTTGCCTATCCTGCCGCCTTAAGGCGCTCGCTACGCTGACGCTGACGTGATGGTTGTCCCGCAGGTCCCTGGACGACGTGGACGTGTACACGGGCGCGCTGTCCGAGTACCCCGTGGAGGGCGGGCTGCTGGGCGGCACCCTCACCTGCCTGCTGGCCGACCAGTTCGTGCGCCTCAAGCGCGGAGACCGCTACTGGTACGAGACGAACCAGCAGCCGCAGGCCTTCACGCCAGGTTAGTATGCGGCCAGTGGCAAAGCTGGCAGCCAGCCATTCTTTGTCTCTCGCCGCGCCATTTGGGCAAAAACGGGAGCTCGGCGCCTGCGAGACGTAGAGTAGGCCACCCCGCAGAGCGCACATGCACAGTACGCAAGATGTTGCCTACCTATCAGGCACTGAAGGGGTTGCTCAGGCTGAACCAGCTGAACTTGGCTGTTTCGTGGCAGCGTATGGCGGACGTACTCTCTGGATGATCCCTAAGCGCTGTTGTCAACTTACCCTTTTCTTCACGACAGCCCAACTGGCTGAGATCCGCAAAACTTCCCTGGCCAGCGTGATCTGCGCCACCTCGGACGGCGTGCACTCGGCGCAACCCGAGGTGATGCGTCGCGCCAACGGCACCCAGGGCGGCACCAAGTCCAACAAACGCGTGGCCTGCGCACAGCTGCCCCGCACCAACCTGCGCGCTTGGATCGAGCGCGACGCGCGCTACGTCTACCACCGCGCCGACGCGCTCCGGGCGTCGGACCGCGAGCCCCAGGACCACGACGACGTCCCCGACAGCCTGGTGCTTGTCGGCGCCTCGGCCAACGACGCCGGTCTCAACCCGACTACGGGTAAGTGACGCGCGCAAGGGTTTTCCTGGATGTAACTCCTTTGTGATAAGATTTTAATTAATTACGTACACATCTTCATCTACAATGTTTTGAATTTTTGGTTTTGTCTAATAACTATGCAATTTTAATCTCCCTTACTTCCCTTTAAGTAATTGTCTCGGATAGTGTATGATTAGAAATGTATCTCTAAATAAAAGAGACCTAGAGGTGCGATAATTCTCGTTGGTGTGCGTTTGACAGACTCAGTCGCCGAGACGTTGTCGCCGCCGTAGCCCCGTAAGGTCGCAGGTACAGTGAGGGCATTAGGGTGATTCAGATTTTGTGTGTCGTAGAATAGAAACGGTGTGGTTTTCCCCGGCCTGTAGAAGACTAGCAATCGCACAACCTGAGTCCAGTGCACGGTGGCTCTTCTCACGGTCTCCCTCCACCGTGGTCCAGTTTTACTGATTGAATGGATATGGAAACCCTCTTCTAGAATCCGAATCGCCATGTGTTCTCCAAAACTCTCACCCGCTTTACGATGATCTGCTTGAGCACAGCTAATGGATGGCCCCTCGCCCCTACCCCAGCGCGTGTTGTAAATAAAAGGAGATTGAATGCTGAATGTAACACAGAAACTGTCGACCTAGGACTAGTCTAGACTGTCATGTAACTACACCCCCTGACGTTATTTTTTCCTGGTCGTGTAAAACGAAATCCGGGAGTAAATAATGATGCTGAATCATCTGTCTTGTTGCAGGTGTTTTTCAGTGTGTGTATCCTCTCCTAACCCCTAAACTCTGCTTGCAGCCCGCGCCGTGCGAGTCGGTGGGCGCGTGACGGGGGGCTCCGTCACCACGTCATCGGGTGCCTCCCTGTGGTCGGGCGCCGTCCCGACGGCCATCCCCATCCCGGTGCTGAGCTCGGGCGCCTTCCTGTCGGGCGGCGTCCAGTGGGACGGCTCACTCGTGCTCTCGGGCGCCACGGCCTCCATCAAGGGCACCTTCGCCGTCAACACGTTCGCCGCTGGAGCTGGGGCGCCGCCTCAGCCCAGCGGGAAGACGGAGGGTCGCTTCGACGTGACCCTGGACGTGCTGTGGGACTCGTCGGTCGACGGCGTCATCGACGTGTCCGGCACGTTCCGCAGCCCCGTCTACCTGCGAAGCAAGGACGGCAAGAGCGGCGCCCCGTTAGTCAGCGCCAAGGGCGGCAGCGGTCCGCTGGCGCCCGTCATCCTGCACGGCGCGCACGACAACAACGGCACCACCTTCCTGTGGAACGGCAACGTGACGCTGGTGCTTCCCACAATGGCCCAGGACGACATGGCGGTCGAGGAAGTGCCGCCGCAGATGCTGCAGGCCTCTTACAGCGGGGTCGCTGCGCCCTCCGCCAACGTCCGCGTCGTCGCCGAGGTCCTGTCCGGTAGCGTGACCGCACAGCGCGCGGACGGCGCCCAGGTCACGTGGTGGGACGGCGCCCTTCCTGTGAACATCCCGACGTCCCCGCTTGACGGCCGTGATGACGGAAACTCTGCGTCGGTACCGGCCGACCTGGCGAAGCCGACAGCGCGTGTCGACGGCGTGCTGTGGACGGCCAAGGTGGCAGCCTCATCCCCCACCACGGCCCAAGTGTCCGGCACCTTCAAGGTCCCCCGCTTCGTGCACGGCAACTATTCCGGGGCCGGCGTACTAGTGGAGTGGTGGTCCGGGAACTTTGCTCTCAACGTCCGTCTTCTGGGGCGCGTCGACGACGAGGTGGACGGTGGTCTGGAGAACCTGCTCGTGCCCGGCCAGAGCTATACCTCGCGCCTCGTGTTCCAGTCCGAAAAGGCGACCCCCGGCACGCCGTCGGCCATGCCAAACGCACCCCTCACCCTGATGGCCGCCGCACAGGAGGTGGTCGATGGCGCCCTGCCAGTGCCCCTCATCCTCAAGGGTGCCTTCTCCGCGGACGGCAGCTCATTCTCGTGGTCAGGACAAGCCGTGCTCGTCATCCCTCGGCCCGCCGCCGAGAAGCCCGCCGTGCAGCTGCTGGGGCAGGCCCCCAAGAAGGCCGTGTACGCCGTGCCGCTCCGGGCCCAGCCCGAAGTGCGCATCGTCACCGTTGCCAAGTCCGGCAGCGTGACTGGGGCACGCGACGACGGTTCAAGTGAGACCACCCTTTGGTCCGGAGCTCTCCCCACCGCCATCCCCTTGCCGCTGTTCGACTCCAAGTCGATGGCTGCTCCGTCAGCCTCCGTCGTCGACAACGACGGGTCCCCACTCTACGCGCATGGTATCGTTTGGCAAGGTTCTATCGTTGTGTCCGGGATGACGGCCACCCTAAAGGGCACCTTCACTGCACCCCGGTACCTCCACGCCCCGCAAGCTGGCAATGCGACAGGCTTTGCCATTGAGTGGTGGAAGGGCAGCTTCTCCCTCGACCTGGAGTCCCAGTGGGCGTCAGCGGCCCTCGACGGCGCCGTCGACCCCTCGGCGACCTACTCCTCCCCTGTGTTCCTCAAGGGCATGACCAAGGCTAGTGCGGACGACAGCGCTCCCATGGGGAGCTCGTCGGCCCAGCAGAGCACGCCGCTCGCCGCCTTCGTGGCCGCCAGCATGGAGCAGAGCGAGGGTGCGCTTCGGGCGCCGCTCATCCTGCAGGGCTCGTACTCCGCGGACGGCTCCACGTTCCTCTGGTCCGGCGGCCTGGTGCTCGCCCTACCCCGGCCCGCGCCTGTCCTCACGCTGCAGGCCGCCCCCGGGGCGCAGCCCAAAACCGCCAAGCTTGCCCCCTCGGCGGCCGCAAAGCCGATGCCAGTCCGACGGATCGGAATTCGGGTCACGACGGGTAACATGTACGCGTACCCTGAGGGTGCCTGGTTCTGGCGCACCTGGTGGTCCGGCTCGCTGCCCGCCGCCGTGCCCGTGCCGCTGTTCGACTCGTACAAGTCCGAGTACGCGCCCTACCCCACCGGGCCGCTGTACCACGCGTGCGGCGTGGACTGGACCGGCTCCATCACAGCCACCTCGCCCACGCACGTCAAGATCGAGGGCAAGTTCAGCATGCCGCAGTACCGGCACGGCCCGGGTGGCGTGGACATCACGTGGTACTACGGCACGTTCCTGTTCGAGGGCGACCTCCTCTGGAACACGTCGCTGGACGGGCTCGACGGCCTGAACGGCGCCTCCTTCTCCTCCCACCTGTACTTCAAGTCGCAGAAGCCGCTGCCCATCTCCAAGTACCCCGTGCGCAGCGGTGCGCCGTCCCAGGCCGCCGCAGTGCAGCAGTTCGTGTCCGACAGCGTGCAGGCGATGGACGGCGCCATGCGCGTCCCCATCGTCCTCGACGGCGACTACTCCGAAGATCGCAACACCTTCTACTGGTCTGGGGACGCCGTGATCACGGTGCCAGAGCCCGTCCGGCCTCCACTCATGCTGCAGGGCAAGAAGCCCGCCAAGACCGTGGAGAAAGACGACGGCACACCCAGCAGCAAGCCATCCAAGCCGGCCAAGCCGGCCAAGCCAGCCAAGCCCGTCAAGCCGCCCAAGCTGCGCATCGCCGCGATGGTCACGGGCGGCTCAGTGAACGCATCCTACGACAACTCGTCCGTCGTCGAGCTGTGGTCAGGTGCGGTGCCCATGTGGTTACCCAACCCGCTGTTCGGCCTGTCGTCCTGGGACCTGGACCCGACCATCAAGTGGTCTGGGAAGCTCACGGTGCTCGACTCGACGGGGAAGCTGCTGCGTCTCGACGGCACGTTCACGTCGCCGTTCTTGGAGCAGGTCGGCGACGAGGTGGTGCGGCACGAGTGGAAGGGCACCTACTCCGTGGAGCTGCGGAACCTGTACAGCGCCGTCACGCAGCCCGACCTACTCAAGCCCAGCAACGTGTACTCCTCGCGCGTCGTGTTCGCGCCGGCCAAGACGCTGGCCGGCGGGCAGGTGTCCCCGCCGCAGCTCGTCCTCATGGATGACGGCGGCGACGGCGGCAGTGGCGGCGGCGGCAGTGGCGGCGGCGACAAGTTGGCCGTGATCGTGCTGCAGGGCCAGTACTGGTTCTGGGGCAAGAGCTGGTGGTGGTGGAACGGCATGGCGTCGATGGGCGTGCCGCTAGACGACGACAACACGGTGGACCCCAATGCCTACGTCAAGCCGGACTACAGCGCCAAGAAACTCATGTCATCAGGAACAAAGACAGCGTCCATGATGGGGACGACCTCGGTTGCCGTTGCCGTGGTGGAAGGGAAGGTAGCGGCTCAGCGTGAAGACGACGCCGGGTCAGCCGCGACCTGGTGGAGCGGACAGCTCCCTGTCGACATCCCCGCCTCACCCTTCGATGGCGTGTCCACCAACGACACTGTGCCGTTCAACCGCTCCGCGGTGGCTCCCGGGGGCTTTGCACGCGGCGTGACCTGGACCGGGTCACTACGACCGCTGACCGACGCCGGCGACAACGGCGACGCCATGCTGGAGGGCAGCTTCCGCTTCCCGAAGTTCCTCCACCCCTCGGCGGCTGGAGCTGGCAGCTTCGCCATCGAGTGGTGGACGGGCCAGTTCTCGCTTCGCCTGCGCCCGCTGGCCGGCTCTTCGCTGGCGGGTGTCCTGATGGAGACGGCCACGTACTCCTCCCCTCTCGTGTTCAAGGCCATGGCCGCTAACGACAGCATCACGTCCCTGCTCAAGCAGGGCGGTGACCAGAACGCGGACGTTGGCTTTGTCTTAGCAAGCGACGCGGCGTCTCAGGGTGCGAACAAACTGACTGTCCTGATGCAGGGCATGTTCTCACCGGACAAGTCCATGTTCTCCTGGACGGGTAACGCCGTCCTGGTGCTGCCGGCCAGTACTCCCGCGAAGAAAATGCGGCCCCTTAAACTGACCGCCACCGCTTCGAAGAAGGCGTCCGCCCCGAAGAAGGCCTCCGGATCGGCAGTGGGTACGAAGATCGGTGCTACGGTCACGTCTGGGACAGTGTCCGCCGGCAAGGCGGGCGAGGCATCCAGCCCGTTGTGGGCGGGGATACTCCCCGTGGTCATGCCCGCCACCCGCCCGACCAACATCCTGTGGTCAGGGACTCTCAGCTCGTCGTCAGCCACCACGGCCAGCCTTACCGGCACCTTCACCACCGCCATGCCCGAGGACTCCGACAACGGCACCGCGTTGGTCTGGTGGAGCGGAGACTTCTCCCTCGAGCTCCAACTGCTGTGGAACGCGTCTCTGGCCGGGTGCATCCGGCCGGGAGTCAAGTACGCCACACCTTTGTACTACCGCTCCGAGAAGTTGGCGCTGAAGCAGTCGCAGCAGGTGGCCTCACTCGGCCAGGAGATGGCGAGCGGCGGAGAGCAGGTGCAGGCCTTCCTGGACGGCACCTACACCCTGGACAAAGCCTCCTTCTTGTGGTCCGGCAAGGTGTTCCTCACGCTGCCCAAGACCTGCGGTTCTGCCCCGAGCGCCCGCCCAGCAGCCCTGAGCCTGAAGGCCGCGCCCGGGGCAGCGCCGGGCGGCGGACGCGTGACAGCGGGGGCCGTGGTGTCCTCCGGCTGGGTGACGCCCAGCTTGTGGTCGGGCGGGCTCCCTGTATCCATCCCGGCCGCCGCCATCCGCAGCGTGCGCCCGCTCAGCTGGCGGGGAACGTTGTCCCGGGGCTACGGCAGCACCGTGTACGTGAAGGGCAGCTACTCGGCCCCGCAGTACCACCACGACGTGGGCACCTTCACCGTCGACTGGCTCACCGGAGACTTCTCCTTCACGGCGCGCATGCTGTGGGACACCGGGGCCGTGCTCGACAGCGCGCTCAACGGCGTCGCCAATTACACTACCTCCATCTTCCTGCAGAACTCGGATTCGCTGCGCGCCCTGGAGGGCGTCCAGGACAACGTCCCGGCCGTGTGGGACCGCATGATGGACAAGGCCGTAGGCGGCGTGGCGGCCGACGGAAAGAAGGTGCCCATCGTGCTCCAGGGAGAGTTTTCGGCGGACGGTGCAACTTTCCTGTGGTCTGGTGGAGTCCTGATCGGCCTGCCGGTTGGGGCTTGAGTATATCTAAAATGTTCCCAGAACTCTTTATAGTGTGTTTTTGTTTACTTTTTTTAAAAATTTCCTTTGGCGGAAATCGATTAAAATTTTGATCAAATTGTGTTGCAATGCTGTCACAAATGTATTGCAGAATTCTTCTGGCAACGTCTCTCGATGTAGCAGATTTCACCGGTAAATTTCAGTGACATCACAAGTCATATATTTACTTAAAAAGAAAGCGGATAAATAATGTGATATTAAGTATTGACTTATCATGTCTACAGTATAGCTGCAGCATATTATCCTACTGATACTATTGTGCCATAATAAAAAGTCAGTTATAATGGAGGTCGATGTCTCTGTTAAGTGGAAGCTGATATGTGATTTGTAGGTATCAAATAACTCTTACTAAACTCTCTTACACCAGAAATAATTTATTCCAGTGATAGATAGCAATTCTTATAGAATAAACTATTTTCTGTACCAAATGGGGCCTTAGATTTGTTAAGAATACTGTTTCATTCCTGCCAGTGAGGCGCTGGAGCGTGAGCAAATGATGGCGTCTCATTTAAATTAGATATAATAGTAGTTGTTGTAATTTGAGGACATTGGAGCAGGACTTATTATGTTTGTTTTCTGCAGTTATCCGTCTCCAGACTTTTCCCCGTCGGGTGTGTTTTTCGCAACTTCCACACGTTCAATAACTAAAAGATCAAATGTATTATTTCGCTTTTGTGTTGAAAGCAGCGTGGTCTTTTGATTGCTTAATAAACTACGTTTCACCCACTTCGTGATCCCTTTTGATATTAACTTTAATAGTACCCGTCACTTAAGTTGGGGGAGGGTGTGG